TAGCCATAGCAAATAACTACCAGTTTAATTAATATATTATAACATTATTGGAGTAAATAGTAATGACGAATACTACGTCTCTATTTAATCACTGTTCCCGCTTAAACACGTCTGTCTTGATAATGCGTTGAATATCCACCATCATTCTTGATAGGTATAACTGATTACGATACTCTACGCCTGTCTCTTATACACATCTATTAGAATTAAAAGCATTGGTTGCGAATTTGATATTTAATATTTAATGTTTTCTATGTTTGTATTTGTATTGTGTTGTTTATTGTTTAAAAAGAAGACCTATTATTTTAGAAATAAAGATTTACTTATTTGTTAAATTTAAAAGTTTGTAATTCTTTTTGTTGTGTACATTGTTGGACAGACATTAGACCTTCGATCCAAATTGATCGTCTATGACATTCATATTATATATGAATTTTCGTAGGTGACAATTCATCATAATAAACTTTGACCGATAGTCACTACTATTACCTCCATTGTCAAGTACAGTAATACCAACAAAAAAATTTATTCAGTTTTCTAAATTAAAATACCATTTATCTTGATACAGCCGCTAGTGGTTATTTTTATTGTTTTGAACAAATAAAAAGAAAACTAAAAAATAAAAACATGTGAAAATTTCTAAATATACCCTAAGTTCCTTAAAATGTGAACGGGCTCATATATCCTGGTACTAGATAAACTTCCCAAGTAGTAGTAATCAATTTCAATTTTTACTTTCTTTTTCCTGTCCAAGCCCCAGATACCCACGCGTGTTAATTTTACACATGCTGCATTTTATTGAATAGAAAAAGGTACTGAATGGCGTTTTCAGTTTTTTTTTTCACGTGACAATAAATGTCGTCACTTACAAAATCGTCGAAATCGACGTATACAGCCTTCACATATTTAATCAATAGAAGGTAATTGAGTAAAAATGGTTAGGAGGCTAGGAATCATTCAAGTGATGGTGACACCATTGGTTTATAATACTGACCGGAATACGGTTCTCGTTAGTCCTAATAATATATTGCCCAAGGCTGACCGACATATCTTTTTGAGATTTATTTTATTTTATTTCAAATATATGCCTCCCCATTGAAATTTTCAGTCATTTATAGTTAGCATAATATGATTTAATAATTTTAAAATGTTTCAGAAATACAATTTCTATCTTAACTTCCAGTGTAATTTAGTTTTACATACCTTGAAATGACATTTTTAGATACGGTACCTTGTAACAGGTTTATGTAAAATATATATATACAGTATATATATATATATATATATATATATATACAGACTACCTCATACTTGTTCACAAATATAAATCTCCCGTTTATCGTAAGTGTTTAAAGGCTCATCAATTCAAACTTATTTATTAATAATAATTTTGTTATTTTTTGTTTAAAGTTTAATTTTATCCATTTCGTCTTTCATAGCAGGGATAAGACCGTCTCTAAACGTAATGTCAAGCAGTTCTTGACCAGTTTTAACATTGGGATGCTGTCTACCAGCCCACAATAGGAAGTGTCTAAACTCGAACCAGTCAATCATGCCATCAGAATCCATGTCTAAAGCACTCAAACCTTGCTGAGTGTCTTTGCATCGGTAGCAGCCAAAGTAAGGTGACATAAAACCGGTGTAGAAGTGGTCGAATGTGAGCTGGTCGTCGATCTCACCATCTCTGCCATCCCATTCATCCCACTCTAACTTGATCTCATCTATTAGCATGTTGATGAATGGCGATGTCTTTTCGGCCTCGGCAATAATATCCGCCATTTCTTTCGTCATCTTCCCACCAGCCTGGTCGAACAACATGGCTAGTCCTATCCTACTGTTGTATTCTTCCTTTCTGCCGTCTGTCGCATTTTTCAGCATTTGTTCCTTCATTTTTCCAGCAATATCCAGTGTGAACTGTGGGTCTTCTCCGAACACATCCTTTAGTTTCAACAGGATCATTTCATCATTCGCCATGCTTGTAATCCTAACTTCACTCTTAACACCCAGAAACTCTGCCATGTTAAATCCACCCTTTGCAGTCGGATCCGAAAAAAAAATTCCATACACCATATCAGTTGCTCTATCACCATAGACTGGTTGCTTAGGATTTGGTTTTACACCACCAGTGACCGCTTTGGTGACATTTATGGCTGCATCTCTTAGGTATGTGCAGTTGTATTGTTTCTGTACAGCCTGGTTACCAAGTCTAATGAGATTTAATATCGCAGTGCATGTATCAGCGTGTCCAAGTGAAGCACCTTCAATACACAAGCCAGCCCACATCCCAGTAGCACCTGATGCAAGTACCTCGAGATTAGCTGCATGCATTAAGCCCCACTGCTCATGTTGATGGAACAACAACTGTCCTTCACTCCATCCACATCTCTCCATCTCATTCTTGACCGCACGTGTCCATGCTGCAAGCTGCTCAGGAATACCTGCCCCAAGATCTTCAAATATTACACCCAGGATCTTTTCTTTCTTGGGTAGACTAGCGAGGTAGTTAACAATATGTCTGACACGTTCAGGGTGTTGTAACATCGTTGCAGAAAAATCCCTGAAGTTTAGCAGGATCAAGGAATTCTCTGAGAGATTCGCACGGATCCAGTCAATCTTATCTTTCAAATACTTGCACATCTCATCCATGTTTATCTTCTCATAATCAATCTTATAATACACCAAATCCAACTCAAGGATGACATTGTTTAAACCAAACTTTTTACACTTTTGAAGTCCAATAGGAATGTCTGGTTGAGGAACTTTGTCAACAATTGTCTCCCACATTTCTGAGAATGCAAAGGCATTGGAGAGGTCTTCACCTTTTTTAATCAGCTCCTTCAAGAACAGATCGCCAATCCTGGCTTGGTTGTTGAATGACTCCACGACAAAGTACTTGAACCCACACTTCTTGATCTCCTCGTAGATAGCTCGCTTGTTCTCAATAGTGTGTGCCCTAAGAGAAGCAACAGTCGTCTCACGCATGGAGTTGTCCAATACAAACAGCTCCATGTTTTTCAGTCGATATAGTTTCCCTTGTACAGCAGCCATGCTTTCTTCAATATCTCCCAAGAACGTACCATTTCTGGTTTTTCCAAGACGGTGCATAATTGGCTGAAAGATAAATGTTTTTGAAACTGTTATGTAGTGAGTTTATAATAACACATTGCTATTGTCCGCAATAAATTAAACAAAACGTATATTCTTACGTATAGTCCCATCCAAACCCGCCACCCCAAACAACAAAACATTATTTAGAACCGATTAGTAAGAAGCAGGGAAAGGCTACCTCTTATAATCTATCCAAAGTGCATATGTCATGTCACAGGAGTAAATTTTACTTTTTCCATATCTCAAATTATATTATACCGAGTACTATAAGGAAATGTAACTTAAAATATAGCCAAAAGTGAAACAAATTGCATATTCTTTTAAATTTTGTTATCAATTATGATGAGGGGATAAAATTCCAAAAAATCATATATTAACCATATGTCTCTTTCATATGAAAATTATCTCAAGTATGCAAATTAGCTTTAAAAATATATGGTTCTCATACTTGGTACCCCAAAATAATCGTAAAAAATGCCAAAATAGAACTTTGTCGTTATTTTACAAAAAAAAAAATGAATATCTATGTTTCCCTGGTAGGCTGAAGGTGTGATCTGGCTCCCACAGAGTCACTTTATCTTACCACTGTCCCATTAATTTAGTGTGTGAAGTGTAAAGTATTTGTTTTTAGCTCTTTTCTTTTCACACTAATCTATTTTGTCGAATAACAAGGTATTATTGCTAAATAAAACGTTTGAATAAGGAACTAGGAACCAGGAAGCAATTTTACAGACATAGTGAAGTCCCATAATTACCATGTATACAAACAGAAACCTTTCTGTTGTATCCTCCGAGTCTATAATGTTAACGCTAATCGACTGAGCATGCGCGTATCAGAAACCCTAGCCCCACCTATAAATTATGTGACTGCTCGCTTACGAAAACAGCAGTGGTCAATTGCTACATTCTTTTTTTATTTTGCTGTTCGTAAACAGTAGTTTAATTTGCCCTAGTTAAGTTATTTTTTTTATGTATCTTTTGTTTGTTAATGAATTTTCTTTGGCTGTACCACCAGTGTGATGTGTGCCACTGTAACAAAAATGTTTCCGAATAGAAACTAAAACTAAAGTCGTGAATGCCTCAGGCCGTACCTGCAGCTGTGTTATTCGAAACTCAACGTATTCGGTCCTATTTCAAAAACAATCAATACGATTATTAGATAATGCATAGCATATTATACCCTGTGTATTTATAATTCTTTTACATATCATTTTTAACAATATTAAAATACTAAGCACCTCGTATATTCTTCAGTCCAACGTAAAGAATTTACTTTCACCGTCATCTTAAGTACAATACACGACACTGCAGTCATTTTCTACGTTTTTAGTGCTTTATATTAGTCCATGGAGGAATTATAATTCCTCTATAATCAGTGTAACCTTCGCCAAGGGAAAAGTGCGAAATTGTGGATCCTCGCCTATTAAGGAATAAGGATCTCATTTCATCTAGTTATGGTATTGATAAGAAATTTTAAACAATTAATTTTTATCATTTTTGCAATACAATGTCTTATTAATATTACTTAAAATACGAATTTTGATTTAGTCATTATTCTGGGTCATGGTACTAGCTTCCGTGTGATTTTCTGGGCAGAATCTATAGTCCTGGTTCTTAATAGGCGGCCTGCGGGCCAATTTGGCCAGCGGAGCCATTAAATCTGGCCAGTGTGAAAAAATTAAATTAAAGCAAATAATAATAATAAAAAAAAGTAAAACATTTGATAAATAATTTTCGCATTACGCGTGAATACATAAAAAATCAACAGACGCCAAAGATTGGAATGTAAGTTATAGTTACACCTGGAAAAGCATGGGAAGACTTGTTAGTTGACTAGACTCAAAATCGAGGTGGATTTAGGTTTTACTTTACTGAAAATAGAACTATGGCAATTACCACCTGCTAACCTTCCCCTCGACCTTTTTTTAGACTGGGGGATTTTTTTTTTCTCTCGGTCGCGGCTATTTTCCCCCGGCTACCTTCCCCCAGTATTTTTCCGATATATGATTTTTTCATCAGTTCATTATACTGTATAAGGCAGAACATATTATTTGTTTTTATTTTGCTTTTTATTTCAGTATAACATATAATATATTATAATGTCTTGTCGTAAGATTCCACCACACATGTTGCATCCTGGTTCACATACGAAATAGAGGAAAGTTGAAACAGGAAATAAATTTCAAACATAGGCCTACTTATTCTTTTGACCTTTGAATATCACACCTATTTCCTAGTCGTTCATTATATATACATATGTTGCTGCATCAGTTAATACTTCAGCAAGGAGTGCCAATATTATCAAAGTTCCAGAGGAAATAGACCACAAAACGGCAGGGACCACTTCTGCTCTTCTACAGTACTTTTACTCTTAGTTAAGATAGTATAATACAATATATAATACTCCAAGTATCGAAATGCATGCCATCGTGTAGAGATTCAATATTTCGACATTAATTATGTCATCATCAGGAATCAGCTCTTAGTGCTCTTTAGTGTTTCTCTTCTACGATTATTACGCCAACTTTACGCCAAAAAGTCTTTAAGGTTGTTGGTAGCATAACCATTGAGGAATACGTTTAGTACACTATCCATCCATGGTTTCACTATCAGTATTAGCATTATGTTAATTTACCGTTTTATAAATTAAACAATTATACACAATATGCAATTTCTTATTGCTTAACATTCTCTTTATCTTGTAAAGAAGACAAATATGGTGTAAACAGAATATTGATATGTATTCTTTACAAATAGTTACAGAATTTAAATGTTTTAGTACACCAATATTGTAGTGTAGCATAATAAAAAGTAGAATTTGAAATTACCAAAACAAATACAACGAGTTGCTTTATGACTCAGATATTATCTTTGGCCCATGAGATCAACTAAAAAAAAATGTGGCCTTTTAAACAAATTAATTAAGAACTAAGGGTTATAGCATTAGGTACCAGCATAGACCTACCGTATAATATCTCTTTTGTGAATAGGCCTATTTTTATAATTATAATGTTTGATTAAGTTTTACTGGTAAGAGTATGATGTCATGTAAGAACAACTGTTTCAAAATAACTTCATATTATGGGAGCGTCTCTAATGAACATTCCACACTCCCTCACACCCACGATCAAGTCAGCCAGGGCGAAATCTTTGGTCGAAGCGAGATCTATAATAGTCGCAGCACGAAATCATGTGTTTTAAACATGTCGGAGATGATAATTTCCATCGACCCAAACGCTAAATATAGGCTTTTTTTTTTTTGTTTTTTTTTTTTTGTTTTTTTTTTTTTTTTTTTTATTTTTTTTTTTTTTTTTTGAAATGATCATACCCGGCTGGCACTTTTACTTTCATCATTACAATTTACAATCGTTATTCAGGTCGTCGAAACCTAGTTTCAGAAGTTATTTTCGGGCGTCTAGAACACAGAATGTTCGAGTATTGTTATATCAATCGGCCCCACTTTGGGGCCACCTTCCGCCCCACCCCCGCCCCCTGACATTTCTGAATCCGCCCATGAAAAGTGTTCTGTGTGAGCAAAATAGTTTAACTATAGATCAATTTGGTAAAATTATTAATTTCATGACAATAAGGTATCTGTATTATAATACGTTAGTAATAAATATCCTGGCCCCGAAGCCAAAATTCGAAAAAAAAAAACAATTCATGTATTACTGCATGATTACTTTAGAATTACATAATAATAAATTTTACAATAATTCACTAAAAAATATATTTTTGGGCCCGAAACGCTTACCAGAAATACTGGGATTCAACGGAGGATGGTTTACTATGGATTACTTTAAAAGAGTAATATTTACTAACTGTATAGAGCTTAGCCTGGCGACCAATGCGTCAAGAACACCACCTGTACTCTCTAACCAGGGTCCCCTCGGAACCTAGCAACGCCACTGGAACAACTTATACAGTGTGATCGAATATTCAATTAATCGGTTATTGGGCATAATATATTGTAGTTAGTTGCTTCAGGGACGTAGCCAGGATTTTGAAAGGGGGAGCCGTTATGAGAATTACGTAGGACCCTGGCGGGGTCAAGGGGTGAATCCCCTGTGAATTAGCGCACTCTGAACGTTCTTAGGACTGTTTGAGAGGATAAAGTGAAAATTGCAATAGACGCATTATAAATAAGCGCAAAAATAATTATATAATAAATCAACAGTGGCAGATCCAGGAATTCGAAAGAGAGGTGAACCAGGATGGAACTTTCACAGACCGAGGAACCACCCACCTCAGCCCCACCATGGTTGGGGCTTAGGTAAGAAAATTTAAGATTGGAAATGGCCGGAAATACACTCGCACAATTTGAATATATTTTTCTTTTTTTTTTTCCTTAAAAAAATGAGAGGGGGGGGGAAATGGCCGGAAATACACTCGCACAATTTGAATATATTTTTCTTTTTTTTTTCCTTAAAAAAATGAGAGGGGGGGGGGGCCTTGAATCCACCTCTGCTCAAGTACCTCTAGATGGCCAGAAATGACACTTTTAGTAAAATTCTCATGTTCTTTTATCAGGGATTTTTGACAACCATAGAGATCCTATTAATGTGTGTGTGTATACCATAGAAAACAAAGCTTAAAAACATTGTTTTTGAGAATGTACTTTACATAGGCCTACTTCAAAAACGTGATTTCACAACCACCTCAACCCCACCATGGCGGAGACTGAGGTGAGAAAATTTGAGGAAATAGTACCTCTCGAGATGGCCGGAAATGACACTTTTATATAGTAAAATTCATCATCATCACATTACCATTATAGTCAAAATGAAACGCCAACACATTTCTCATTATCTTTTATCAGGGATCTACTTAATATCCAGGACAACTTAGGCCTAATTATAACTTACTAAGCTTTAACTATATACTATAGTATGATCAACAAATCACAACTTTTTTTTTCCCATTTAGCACAATTTTCTTCACTTTTTATTGCTATTAATATTATCAATTATTACTATCGTCATCATCATCATCATTGTTATTATTATTACTATTAGTAGTAGTAGTATTATTAAACAAACATGATCTTTTATCAGAGATTTTTGACAACCATAGAGATCTTATTAATGTGTGTGTGATATGCCATATAAAACCAAGCTTAAAAACATTGTCTTTTAGTATGTACTCTACATAGGCCTACTTCAAAAACGTGATTTCACAACCACCTCAGCCCCACCATGGCTGGGGCTGAGGTGAGAGAATTTGGAAATAGTACCTCTCGAGATGGCCGGAAATGACACTTTTATATAGTAAAATTCATCATCATCACATTACCATTATAGTAAAAATGAAACGCCAAAAAATTTCTCATGATCTTTTATCAGGGATCTACTTAATATCCAGAACAACTTAGGCCTAATTATAGCTTGCTAAGCTTTAACTATATACTATATTATGATCAACAAATCACAACTTTTTTTCGCATTTAGCACAATTTTCTTTACTTTTTATTGCTATTAATATTATTATCAATTATTACTATCGTCATTATCATTATTATTATTATTATTATTATTATTATTACTAGTAGTATTGTTAAACAAACATTTAAAGAAACTTGCAAAAGGATAAAAACGAAATTGAACCACAGTATCGCATTTCTATCTTAAGACCTGACCTGAGATTTATGGATTTAAGATTTTTTTTTATCACGCTTAGGCCTATGTGTTCTATTAGGCCTATATATAACGTGTACTGATGCATATTGACATGTTTAGAAGTATTAACTTTGAGTGATCCCAGGAAAGAATTTGTATTGGCTCAAGAATAAGCTTTAATTGATTTAAGAAATTCTTACCTTTGCTTGGTTTTATGAATACTAAAAACAAAAAAGAGTACCACAGTGGATGTTGTCTCACCAACGTCTTTGATGGGTGTGAGAGAATTTCACTTCGTGTGTATACGTTTTGGTTGCGTGATAACTAACGCTTCAGAGAGCTTTCGATTGCAACAAGGCTTTCGATTGCAAGACCCAGGACTGAATGACGTGTCATAGTCATCCATGCATGCGAGAACGTTCAACTATTATTGGGCTCACGAAAGTGAAAAAAACTCAACATTCTCTCAATTAGTTCTTGTCTGGCCCGGGGCGGATGTAGGATTTGGCGGTAGCGGGTGCATGAGGGTCCACCTCACTGCCCCCACCATGGTTGGGGCTGAGAGAATAGAAACTTTTGAGAATAGGGAACTCTCAGGCGCGGATCCAGAGTTTTAGCTCTGTTTCCATAGAATCACCCACCTATCGGCGACAGTCGTGACAGTTGTGGTTCACAGGCCAATCGGGGTGCCTTCCCAATTGAGCAGGGCAGCTAGCAATGCACTGATTCGTCTGTGTCTGCAACGCAATCGGCGACTGTCGCCGATAGGGTGAGCAATTATAGGGAAACCGAGCTTTACCCCGACTATCGCACATAATGGGTGGGCGGGGTCATGGGAAGAGAAATAATGTTTGTTTGTTCCGTCGCTAGAAGACTATTTTAGACATGGGGTGGGGAGGGTGGTTTGTGGTAGTCTTGGGGTTCTCCTAGCTTCGGAAAGTTCTGTTTTTTCTAAATGCTGAGAAATGCACTAGTGCATTACGAGTCTTCCATTGATGAATGAATACGCACTGAATTAATAGTTTTCCCCCATCAATTGCAATGATGATGATGATGATGATGTGATGATGGGAGGCATCGTGCAAGGTTAATTAACATGCCCTTTGATACATGAGTGTCAACCGAGGCCCGTATCCCGAGTTCGTCGTCACATTTTCAATGCACACAATCAGACAACAGTAATTATCTACAATTTATATAATCAGTACATTCTCGACTGTCATGAAAATGTAATATCTAAAACTAACGTTATATGCATGCTCGAAAGCGGAAGGTTTAGCCTAAAAGTTTGATATATGTTTCATGTTGTTTGTTGAATGGTCTTTAAAATATTACCGTCTAATTATGACCACAACATAAGGAAGTCCATTCTTTAAATGTTTAATAGATAGTACATAGAATTATGATTGTTTATCAAAATCATTATACACATGTTATATCCAATTTTTTAAAAATAAATATAAAAAAATACGTATTTAGTGCACGCTTCGACGTGGAAAGATTAACCTAATAATCTTGTTAATAATGCGGTTCTAAAATTAATCTTATGACCACAACATTTAAGTTCTAACTTCAGGAAAAATAATAATGCATTTCTATTGTACCGCTACCAGCTGGGAAAGTAATTAAATAGGCCTATGCATAAAATGTCTTCTGTGATTATTTCATAATAATTTCATATTTCGAAAAATTGTTTGGAGTAAGCCTAAGCCTATATGATCACGTTCCATGATAGATTACATCCACAGGGTGCCCCCAAGCCAAAATTTCAAAATTGAATAAATTGCGTTTTTCCGAATCACGACAGACTGAGTAGATTATGCCTACTGGTTATAATATAAAAACTTAAGATTTTATTTTTAAATCACAGAAAATCACAATTCTTTTTTTTTTTTTGTTTTTTTTTTTGTTTTTTTTTTGTTATTTTTTTGTTTTGTTTTGTTTTGAACGAACAGCATTCGTTAAAATAATGATATAATAATTCATTAATCAAAAGTAATAATTAAAATAATATGTTTCCGCTTTGGTGTAATTTTGGAATAACAAAATAGAATAAAATTATATATGCCTTTTAATAAGGTTTTAGAATCAACGCACATGTATAGCCTCCCTGTGATTGATTTTGTATTAACCATACATTGTGACATAAATCATAATGATAGGCCTAATAAAGAACTCAACAGTGTACCGTACATTATTGCGCAGCCGATTTAATTACAGTCCCTCTTTGAGTAATACTTAGACAACGCAAAAAGTTTATTTTGTCTATATATTTTGTCTTTGGTTTAGGTAGGTGGCATTCCTGACAGAAAGAGTTGGAATTCGCCAGACCACCAGGCACTGCTGTCACTTTATATTGGCGAACGTTGCGAAGAGGTCTGGATCCGCGCCTGCCTCTAGGTGCCCGGAAATTGCACTCCAACAATACAATACAATAATTATTTTTCTTAATACAATTTAGGGGGTGCGACCGGACGTTTTGCACCCCCTACATCCGCCCCAGTCTGGATTAATATTTTGGGACGCAGTTTGGTCATATTCTACATTATGCAGAGAAGGTAAAAAGGTCTCAAATGAGCGAATTTGTTCTAAAGTTACCGTAAATGCTTGAATTAAACACTGCTCTCGAATAAGCGCCGCATCAAACCTGATTTTTTTTTTTTCGCTAATCGCCGCTCTAGAATTAGCGCGGCGGCGCTTTATCAAGAGTATATACCCTGTGTGTAATGAAACACTTTGAAGAACAGAGTTTTAAATACAATTTATACAGTGTTAAAGATTGTCTTTTTGTATTTCATGGATTATTTTGTTTACGTAATTTCTTTTTTCTAAATTCAAAAAATATTTTGTCGGTTTTTCTCCTTGTTCAATCCATGTGGCTTTCGATCTAATAAAAGCTCCAAGCAACCTTTTTTCCCTAAATTTTTGTAACTCTTTTTGTACGGTATTACATTCATCTGTTAAAATTTTAGCATCTTCAGTTAAATTTAAAAGTAACAACCCCCTAATGGAAAGTTCTAGAGACTTGATTTTCTCCCACAATTTTGATTCCTGTTGGCGGCTTGTTTTAATTAGTCCACTACTGTATGCAATTGTCATTCCTCTTATTTCACATAATAATGTTTCATAAAATAATTGGTCATTTATATTGAACATGATTTCATCTGATGGGGTATCTTCATTGTAGTTAAGGGCATACTGTTTTTTCACAGTGTTTATCTTTTCTTTAACCTTTTCAATATATTTCAAATCTCTTAACAGCGAGTTATTAAATTTCCACAGCCCTTTTCCTCTAGAAATATTCGATAATTTCAGTTTTAGCGTTACTGGGGTATGATCTGACCCATATTTAGTTTCTATATTACATTCCTGTACGAAGGACATAAGTTCATTTGACATTAAAAAGAAATCTAGTCGGGCACTTTTAGTAAGGTTCTTAACGCTCCAAGTGTAATTTAACGACGATTCATTAATTTGCCTCCATGGGTCGCATAAGTTCAGTTGCTGTTTCATTTCCAAAACAAAAGATCTGGCTTTTGGATTGTTTACATTTTTATAATTGTAATAATCCTTTTGTGTATTCTGCACCAGGTTCCATGTATTCTGCACCAGGTTCCTTGACAATTATTGCCTTCTTCTCACCGATGAGGCGTTCTGTACCCCGACTCCGAGGGGCCGATAATAGACTTTTCGTTAAAAAAGAGCTCAAGTATTTCTTTATATTAAATTCGGGTCAAAATGTTGGGAATTGCGACTGTCTCTTTGATTCAGTTTGAAAAGGTAACTAGGAACATATTTAATTCGCAGACATCAATTAGTAGAATTATCCACGGTTGATCCGCGATGTTGCAATTATTTGATAATTCATCTGTGAGCTATTAGTATACGGACACATTGATATATTTATTAATTTTTTTGGATCACGAGGGAGTTCAAAATTAGATGATGATAAGTACGATCAATTAAGTAAGATTTTTCAATGTTGTGTTGTCCAGGATTTTGCAAATATTAAAAAGAAAATACTCTAATTCACAGATATGTGTCACCACTGTATTCATGTTTAGATTACCACATACCGTAGCTCATCACCCATATATATAAATTACAGGTTCAACAAAAATTATATTATACTAATAGTTCTAGGATTGATCTCTTTGTACTACAAAAAAACAATTTATTGTAAAGGAAAAAGGGAAAACCTAAATTACTAAAAGCAATTCAGCCCTAGTCTTACCATAGGTGACCATTTGAAAGTGACAAAAATGGCTAGTACTGGGGGTGTGAGCAGGCTTGTAGCGTGGGGGGTTAAGGGGGTTACGACGAACCGCTCAAAAACTGGAGAAGGTCCGCATTTAAAAACAAGAAATTCGTAGATATATTTACAATGTTCTCCAGAGTATCGGAGAGCCAAAAGTATTTCAGCGAGGCATTTCTTAATCTTTCCCAGCAACAATATTACGTTATTGTATAATGGTTTCCAAAGGGTCCACTTTCTACTGAAACGAACCTCCCACAAATTAAGTCACGCTGGTGTGAGGAGGGCTAAAGCATATTATCTTCCTCTAGATCTGTCCCTGCTCCTAGGGGAAAGCTCATTAAAGACCCACTTCACTTCTTTTTTCACCTGTGTACCATTTTTTGATCGAACATTTTTCCACTTACACGTTTGATCTATTTCACGTACTTCTCATCTGGAGCCATTGCCACGCTGTATTAAATGCTTGAAACATGTAGATCTGTGGAGTCTTTGGCCATTTTTGTACATTCTATTTGTAAGCGTCATACTTGTAGTTGGTCAAACGTCGGGCATATGGTGTTTTGTTCGTCGTCAATCAGTTTTATATAGACATTTCAATAAATTATTATTTATAAAATATGGCATATGAGTAAAAAAAGAGGACTAAGAATAAAATAAGATTAGGAAGAAGATTAACATTAGTAAGTGACCAACATAAAACTAAAATACATAAATCTGTGTGAATAGGAGAGGCGTGTGGTGAGCCAGAGTAGTGCCAAGATTTGCTCGACGGGAGGATGGGGAGGAGATCGATCAAACACAAAACATTCTTATAACGTTCGCGAACGTTGCAGTTAGGTATGTAACAAAATTACGTTCGCACAACGTTGTGACGTTGTGAAATTAGGTTATAAGTACGTACATATGGTTTTACAAAATAACGTTTTTATCACCAAACTGTAACGTTTTTATAACGTTCTTATAACGTAATATTGTTAGCTGGATGTCCCCGACAGGAGCGAAGTGGGTGTGGTCAGGAAGGTCTTAGTGTATGTGAGTGAAATAAGTTGGAAACATTCTACCACAGTCATCGGGGATGTAAGTGAACATAACAAATATAAGTGGAACATGCAGTCTATTAGGTCTTTAAAGGTTTGATCTCCTTTACACGCAAAATTGCACAAAACATTATTATAACTTTCTACCCGTATTGTTAGGTATGTCAGAAGAAAATAACACAACGTTTCAGCAACGTTGCAAAGCTATTTAGTTGTAAAATAACGTTTTCTACACAGTGTAAATGTTATTTACCATTAATTGTTTAACTGGGTAGTTCGGTTAGAATAAATAAAAAATGCATATAAACGCACGGTGAAAAACATTTCAGAGAAAATAATATGGAATATGTTTTGATGGTAAATTATGTACAAGAACCATATGTTAATCGTATGGTTTTGACGCATAACGTTTTCACGTGCAAGAGATAACAAATGTAAAATGTATACAGTACTTTTTACATTGTTTCTACTGGTCAACGAACCTGCATTTTAATTTCTACATGTAAAATATCTAAAATAAAATAGATTGTTCCCAAAAGAATCAATTTGGGTAAAGGGCCTCAAATTGACAATGTATTACTTTCTTTAACAACATATATGCTGATCAAATATGTTTATGATGACAACTAAAACAGCACATTCATGTCACTTAGATTGTTCTAGCATAAAAATATATGCTGGATCCGACTGGTGAAAGATGTTTGCAAATTAGCTTCTTAGCTTGGCCAGTGTCAGAATGTAGAGCAACTACCGATTTTTCGCCAAGTTAACAATTTGAAGATATAAACATAATAACATTAGAGTTATATTTCAATACGTATTTATCATGGAAATTCGAACTAAACAACGTTTGCTAACATTGTATCAATGTTTTTTTAACTCAGAGCGTTCTCAACGTTCGCGAATTTCATAACGTTTGATTGTAGGAGTGATTACCCCTACCTGGTGTGTTATCATACCGAGCTCAGTACGAACAAATACTTATTGAAAAAAACTGATAGGGAACGGAAACTGCGACCTGCAGATAACTAGTCTGTCATAACCTCTTGACCAACGAGTGCGCTTTGTGACTAGTGTTGAATCCGAAGTGCAATGCTAATGTTGAAATGTTGTGTTTGTTTTGCCAGACAGTTCCTTTCAATCGCAAGACTGTTTCCTCGATGCGCGACTCGCGGTTGCAGGGCAACAGCCTATTCTTAGGCCTATATAATAATTAGGTCTACATGATCTTATCTTTATTAGGCTGGTCTATGGATCTCCACTTTCACACTTTTTGATCTCGATCAAAATGATATCAATCAAAAGGAAATAGAAGTATTCAAATTACAAAAAAAAAGTTAAATGAACAATACATAAATCGTAATTTGATTGATGATAATTAATTTTTTTTAAATATTACAGTATGGATTTATCATCTTCTTTATCTTTATCTTTATGTTTAAGGTATTCCTTCAGTTCCGTTTCAAAATACAATCTTGCCCTTCAAAACAGTGGGATAGCCGTGTTAGCTGAACTATACAAACAGCATATAGGCTATGTTCAGACACAACGACTTACGCTAGCGTAACGTTAATCGAGTGGTGTGAACTTGTGCGCGGCGTAGCGAACGCCAGTATTATCGCGCAATCACTGGCGTACGGTAATCCAGCAACAGACCCCAGATTAGCGTACGCCACTGATTTACTATATATAGTCATTCTTGGTAACTTCACGGTAAAAAACTTTCAAATTTGACAAAATGATTACAATTTTAAGTACTGTAAAAGTGAATTACGTCAAGTCAATCAATATTTTGAAAATAAAACTTTATTGAATTGTAAAGAATAATAGTTCCGAATGGTTTCATAGACTTACAAAATGCGTACACACAAAAACTGCGCGCGCTTTCTGTAAACTTTGTATTTTAAATATTATCAAAGATAATAAATTGCAGAAGATAGAACAGCTTCGCGTTGATTGGAAAGGGAGAACGGAGAGATATTTTACCCCGTCCGCGCAGCGGTGCTATATATCAATATTAAAGGAGCCACTCAGTTTCTCCACTTAGTCAAATGGTCAAATTTTACCCAACTCGCGGGAGGGCGAAAGTTTTAATGCAAATACGCGGAATAAGACATTCTTCTGCTATTTAAGTTCTTTGATATTATATACGTACAGTCATTCTTTATAACATCACTGGGAAACATTTTTCAAATTTGACAAAATGATCACCGTTTTAGTACGGTACTGTAAAATTGAATTTGGTCACGTCAACCTTGCCTCAGCAGAACGTCAAAACTTTGTTCAGACGTTTGTCTATATCTCCAAAAACACAGACCACCTCATACTTGTTCACAAGTATACATTTTTCGTTTATCATTAAGTGTCTTAAGGGCTCATAAATTCAACCGCTTATTTGTTTAAAATTCTAATTTATCCATTTCGTCTTTCATAGCAGGAATAAGACCATCCCGAAACGCAATATCAAGCAGTTCTTGACTAGTTTTAACATTGGGATGCTGTCTACCAGCCCACAACAGAAAGTGTCTGAACTCGAACCAGTCAATCATACCATCAGAATCCATGTCTAAAGCTCTCAAACCTTGCTGAGTGTCTTTGCATCGGTAGCAGCCAAAGTAAGGTGACATAAAACCGGTGTAGAAGTGGTCGAATGTGAGCTGGTCGTCGATCTCTTCGCCTCCTCTCCCATCCCATTCATCGAACTCTACTTTGATCTCAGCTATCAAAGTATTGATGAATGATGAGGCCTTATTGGCCTCGGCAATAATATCCGCCATTTCTTTCGTCATCTTCCCACCAGCCTGGTCGAACAACATGGCTAGTCCTATCTTACTGTTGTATTCTTCCTTTCTGCCGTCTGTTGCATTTTTTAGCATCTGTTCCTTCATTTTTCCAACAATCTCAAGTGTGAACTGTGGGTCTTCTCCAAACACATCCTTTAGTTTTAACAGGATCATCTCATCATTCGCCATGCTTGTAATCCTAACTTCACTCTTAACACCCAGGAAATCTGCCATGTTAAATCCACCCTTTGCAGTGGGGTCCGAAAATATAAAGCCATACACCATATCAGTTGCTCTATCACCATAGACTGGTTGCTTAGGATTTGGTTTTACCCCACCAGTGACCGCTTTGGTGACATTGATGGCTGCATCTCTCAGGTATGTGCAGTTGTATTGTTTCTGTACAGCCTGGTTTCCAAGTTTGATAAGATTTAGTATAGCAGTGCAGGTATCAGCGTGACCAAGTGAAGCACCTTCAATACACAAGCCCGCCCACATCCCAGTAGCGCCTGATGCAAGTACCTGCAGATTAGCTGAATGCATTAAACCCCACTGTTCGTGTTGATGGAACAACAACTGTCCATCTCTCCATCCACATCTCTCCATCTCATTCTTGACAGCACGTGTCCATGCTGCAAGCTGCTCAGGAATACCTGCCCCAAGATCTTCAAATGCTACACCCAGGATCCTTTCTTTTTTTGGCAGACTAGCGAGGTAGTTAACCATATGTCTGACACGTTCAGGGTGTTGTAACATCGTTGCGGTGAAATCTCTGAAATTTAGCAGGATCAAGGAATTTTCTGAGAGATTCGCTCGGATCCAATCAATCTTCTTTTTTAAATACTTGCACACCTCATCCATGTTCATCTTCTCATAATCAATCTTATAATACACCAAGTCAAACTCAAGGAAGACATTATTTATACCAAACTTTTTACACTTTTGAAGTCCAATTGGGATGTCTGGTTGGGGAACTTTGTCAACAATACTCTCCCACAGTTCTGAGAATGCAAAGGCATTTGAAAGATCTTCACCCTTTTCAATCAGTTCTTTCAAGAACAGATCCCCAATCCTGGCCTGGTTGTTGAATGACTCCACGACGAAGTACTTAAACCCACACTTCTTGATCTCCTCGTAGATAGCTCGCTTGTTCTCGATGGTGTGTGCCCTAAGAGAAGCTACAGTCGTCTCACGCAAGGAGTTGTCCACGACAAACAGCTCCATGTTCTTCAGTCGATCAAGATGACCTTGTACAGCAGCCATGCTCTCTTCAATGTCTCCAAAGAACGTACCATTTCTAGTCTTCTCAGGGAGTATTATTTTTTGAAGACGGTCTATGATTGACTGAAAGATAGATAATTTCATATTAACTGTACTGAGTTTATAATAGCATATTGCAATTAATGATTGTATTGTGAATCTCTTTTTGTATTAAGCTGTAAGTCAAACAGAAAGAAATGTCTGGTCTTCTCAATGAGTATTTTTTAAGACGGTCCATGATTAACTGAAAGATGCATGATTTCATATTAACTGTACTAAATTTATAATAATATATTGCAATAATTGATTGTATTTTTAATGTATTTTTGTATTAAACCTAAGTCAAACAGACAATTACATGCACGTCGTTGGCCGCACAAACTTTTTCAAGTTAAAGATCAATTTAGCGATATCTAGAAACCCAGAGACCCAATTACTTCAGAGTCGTTTAGAGCTTCTAGCCTAGTGATTCAATAGTAGAGTGTCCCTCTACTGTTGAGAAGATTGTGGATTGTCAGATACTCAATAACCTGTATTTCCATTTCTTTTTTCAATAATTATAGCAATTATATGCCCAAGCACTGAGATGTGTCTATATTTACACATTTCATCTTTAAAGCCTTTATCTTTATTAAAAAGATTAATTTTTGGTGTGTAATTTAGTTAGTGTAAGACTTAAACTACTAATAAGGAACTTCAGAAGGGATGAGCAGCTACCTTAAGTTTTACAAACAGGGAAAGAATTGCGATTGACATTTCTTCTATTTTATATGCACCATCCAGCAGAAGCTGATCATTTGGATATTTCTATTGGTAAAGCTTACTGCTGTTCACAAATCTGTAGACATCGTGAAATGATAACATCTATGCAGTTAAGCGATTCGTAGGGCTGATTTTTTTTTTTTTTAATCATATTACTTTTTTTTTTAAATATAATTTCTTATCAAAGATTCGTGTGGAATTAATTTCGGTAATATCAACGTGAATAGAAAAAAAAACTCTCTAATAGGCTAGGTATAGGCCCTATTTGACTTCATTTAATTTGACAACTGTAATGAGCAGCGTTTCAAAGAAGGGAAATCTCAACTTTCACATTAGCATGCGGCTACAACCAGCATTGTTGGAGGCTGAGGCTTTCGGCATGGCGGCAGTGCTGAAAGATATGCTTTCTTCCTTCAACACTTTCAACTAAAATTAAAGCTGAGAGGTGCTTCAAATTGAGGATGAAGAAGCGAGATTTTGACCAAGAAAAATAAAAGACACATTGCTGTAGATGGTTAATATTATAAATGTTTATAAGGCCAAAAGAAGAAAACATCGGATTTGAGTAGCCCAGAGGAAGGGCACTGAAAATTGTCCTGATAATCTTTTGCAAAGGTTTAAATGGACAGTGTTTGTTTGCAGAGAAATTTTGAAGAATTTTGGGTGAATTTTTATTAATAGTAGATTGCTCCATTTGCTCGAATTTTATTTATACACAACAATACAAAAGATATTTCCTGTGTACTTTGACTGTACATCACGAATTTGCCTACCAGTCGGGTGCGCCCTCTCCGCCATGACAATGTAAACACCGAAAGGGGTCTATCAAATCCAAATATCGACGTAAAAATAACAAAAACCTACCAAAATATGCATACCGTATTTACAAGAATAGACGCCCCCTCCCCACACTTCGAATAAATGCCCTATTCAGAGCCTAATTTGTAATCTGTAAACGCCTCCACCGAATAAATACTACTGGACGTTAAATTTTTCCTCGAATAAAAGCCCCCTGCCCTCTAAATGACTGTAAACAAAACTAATGGACGCAACATCATTGTCAACACATTCTATTAATGTTCTACTCCAAAATAATTTAATTTATCCTAACCTTGCTAGGATCAATACTTCATTATGATCAAGGGCGCACATTTTGTCGGTAATTATGCATCTCCATTTTACACCAATAAAAAACCAAAAAAAAAAACGCCTCCCTCGATTAAGCGCCCCCTCAAAAACCCTTCTCAACAATAAACGCCTCTTGCGTTTATTTGCATAAATACGGTAACTGTTGAGGCCCTTTAGAAACTCCATTCGCCTATCTAACTGGCATAAAATTGCATCAACAAAACCCGCGGATAATACACGTGGAAACAAATTAAAAATTAAATGTGGATTAAACCATCATTTTGTCCCTAAAAGAATTGCCAACAAAGTAAATTATTCAAATTAATTAAAAAAAAAGATTATTTATACCAAACCTGAATGATCTAGCAGAAACGGCAGTCAGCATTGAAAACAAAATAATGGTCTAGGTTGTTGGAAAATAATAAAGGTCAATTGAAAGACAGTGAGTTTCAAATCGGCATTAAGCGTATTATAAAAAGAATGTAATGACTTTGTACAGTATCTGGGTTAACACACCAAATAATTTGGGATTTGTGTAAAAATTATATATTTGACAAAATTTTAAAAAATAGAGAATAGAGCAAGAAAAAAATACAAAAATATATGTTTGTTTTGAAAAAAACAAATATAAATTGTCAAAGGAAATACACCCACAGCAGTTAATAAAAACAAAAATACTTGAGTTAAAAATTAAAGAATATTAAATCGCTCTAATTGATTACAAGGGCAAATGTGCACAGATTAAATCACGAAGGCAGTGGCTTGAAGAATTAGAAGATCACGAAGGCAGTGGCTTGAAGAAGGAGAAGACACATGCACGGAAGTACAACCATGCACACAGAATTTCACAAAAATTAAGATACCAACCACCATATTACAAAATTGAATATTATTAAAATAAAAAATAAATAAATATTTAAAAATTCAGTTACAATTATGACAATTTAAATGGTAACCTCACAAATGAAGAATGCAAACAACAAACATATTTGTGACAGTAAGAAAGAGAATAAGAGCCCGGAACTAGAATGATTTTAGGCTAGTTCTACCAGGGAGCAGTCATTATTTCATGGAGAACATGGCTGCACCCTGGTTCTACAGAGACATTGGTGATAATATAGGTCAAATTGGTACTAACACCCTTACAGAAGCATGAAAGAGAAGAATTATCTAACGTACAAAAAAAGGTGATTTAACCAAATAAGAAATAAATGAGACGTACCGGCCACTAACAATACTTTACATTGACAGAAGATTGCAGCAAAATGCTTGCAAATCGAATAATACAGATTATTATATAAAATGGTATAAATTAAACAGCCAACTGATATAAATGATATATAGCCTATACTAGATCCTAAAAATCAAGCCATAGCTACTGAATGCATATATTATACAAAGAACTTTTAAGTAGGTCCTACTGGATTTATAACAAGAATATTTCAACAACCAGCTTAAATCACTTCAAAATTAAATAACAGAACAAGCTTAAAAAAGAAAGGACCTTTAATAATAGAATACTTTAAGTTAAGCCATATCAAAGGTATTGTTAGAATCTGAGAGACAAATGTGTCATCCAGAAAACATAATTGGTTTTTCAATAACTACAACTAGAAATAGTGATCTTCATTACAATCACGAATATTTAAAAAGAAATTATAAGTAAAATATTTAACACCTCAAACGTAAAGTCATTGGGAATAAACGTAGGCCTATAGGGATACTACTAGAATAACCTCAAAAGTGAGATCGAATAGCCGATTAGTTGGTCATTGGTTGGTATATATGGCCTCTAGTTTGTTGGTTAGGCCTACTTGATTTATAGATTGGTTGATTAATAAAATTATTAATCAATATAAATCTTACCATTTCTTGTTTTTCTGAAGAGTAAAAGCAATCCATGAAAAAAAAAAACAGTACCACAATAGCTGTTGCCTCACCAGGAGCTTTGATGGGTGTGAACAGTGAATTTCACGTCGGGTGTATACGATTTGGTTGCATGATAATTAAAGCTTCAATGAGCTTTTGATTTCACGACAAAGGTTAGGACCTAGGTCCGCAATGACGTGACAAAAAGTCATCTGAGCATGCGAGAACGATGAACTATTGGGCATTGGCTCAATCAAGCCTGAAGAAAGTTATATACTTGAACCAGGTTGAAATAAGGAGTCGTTCACAATTATCAACATTTTCACAAGTGTACAAACAGTACTCTTTTTCGGTAACCCCTCCTCCCTCCCCTCTGAAAGTGTACAAAAAACGTTGATTTTGCAATACCATTCTCCATTGTTTGTGAAGTCAACTAAAGCAATGTACTTCATGGTTGCTTAAAAATGAATATTATATTCATGGTTGCATTATACTTTAACCATATTTTACATTTTGCATGTTATTTCGAATTTATGCATATGTCAGAGTGTACAAATTTGTCTACCCCTCCCCTTGCGTACTGTTTTTACTCTTGTGAAAATGTTCTCTCAAGTTTTGGTTGCGTATTAAAGCTTAATTTATTTGCTTAACAATAATCACACACCCAAACAGTGAATGATGATTGGTAGATCATGGGATATCGCTTAGTTGGTGGGCTCTGGGCCTAATAAGCTCAATAAAAGTACAGTACAGCGCCTATTAAGGGGACACTAACCAAAAATGTAAATTCTCCCTTTAATAAATAAGGGTTTTGGCATGCTTTCGTACAATGATGACAGAGATTATCTATAATTTTATCTTAATTTGCCTGAGAATGAGTTACAGTTGAATTATAACTAATTTATAACAACATTTGCAATTCAAAAAATAAGTGTCCCCTTAATAGGGCTTAAATTGTGTTGATTTGACTATTTGACTCAGAAAATGTCCTATCCCCTCAAGGGTATTCTCGTAATAGGGGTTGGCGTAGTGTTAAAAGATATATTTAATCCTCTCGTTTCATGGAAAAGTGTCCCCTTAATAAGGATTTCTCCTGAATAGGCTTAGGGTTTCCAAAAGGAGGGGTTACTGTTATTGTTGACTAAAACTGGCTATAGATGGAAGTGACTATCATCTGCTATCGGACATGGGCTCTAGGCTAAAGCTAAAGTTTCTATTCACATTTCAGAAGGATTATTTCTATTTTATGCTTAATGATAATGTAAGCAAATATTGAAACACTGATAACAAACAGGAGATAGTTTTATAGAAATATATTTTTAACGGCTGCAGAGAAAAAAAAGTTGTTGATAGAAAGAAGTGACCGCCATCTTCCGTCAAACAGGTCAAATGCTAAATATTATTATGAAATGTGAGAGAAATATTATTTCGAACAGTTTAAACAACTGTTATTATAATGCATGGCATTTGAACCTTCTTATTGCTAACATTAAGTCGACTTAGTACGTAATCCGTCTATTAACTTATTCAATCTGTAGTTCGCTTAGGCGTGGCGCATTCTTTGTATTCTTTTCAGCATTAATGTTCAGAGACCTTCAAAGATTTACAATAGAAATACAATGAGAACACTTTTACCATTCTTGCTTCTTAATCATCGATCTCGCAGAATTATAATACTACTATATTTTTTCCCTATTTTCTTATACTGGATGTTAGACTAGATAGGCTATGATTATTTGAGCATCTTCGACTTATGAATTAATTATCAAATGGTAATTTTAATAAATTTAATACTAATAACCAATCACAGAACAATGCAATTCCCTTTACGTTTTTACTTTCAAGAACACCGGTGTTGTGAAGCTTGTCAGTTAGTATTTTAAATAAAAGGAGCAGTCATATTACAACAATTCAATATGACTGCTCCCTGGCATTACATGCTTTACTACATTAATTATTAACACAGGTATTACAGTAACCAAATGCATTGTTTTCCAAATTATATCTGGTAGTCTTAAGATTTACGGTAATTGTTAGTTCCGTCCTTCTGTAGCGCCTTGAGCACTAGCATTGAATATGTGCGCTTTAGAATTCTCATTATTATTATTATTATTATTATTATTATTATTATTATTATTATTATTATTAGAGACAGTCAAATTCTCTCAGGTTATCTGTCCCCAGAGTGCTGCATGTTCGTACTGGCGAACTCTCTTCCACCTAATCTTAGATCATAGAGCAAATTTCTTTGCTCTATGCTTAGATCAACTTCTGATACTAATGCATTCAAGACCCTCCTTAAAACCTAGCTCAATAACTCTTTTATCTTAAGCGCCAGTGACAAAAAAAAGTATTTTTTTAACAGGCGCTATACAAATTCTCCAATTTATTATTGTTATTATTATTATTATTATTATTATTATTATTATTATTATTATTATTATTAT